AAAAAGATACCAACTGACCCAGCACAGTTGCACTGAGCTATATAGTATGACTCTCGTGGAAAGGCTGTGCGTATAGCGATTACAATGCTTTGGTGTTAGCTAATAACACAGAATACAAACCTTTTATCAAGATTAAAGTACTGAGTCAGATGGTTGATTATAAATATAAGGAGGTGTTATTTTGAAGTGTTCTTCCACTAGATGTTCCCTTGCCTCTCAAGAACCCCTGCCGATCATGACTTCTGTGGTACCCTTTCTGACCTCTTCACTTGCATCAGTTTCATGTTCCAAATGCTAACTTTAAACATTAAATTCTCGTTTCTCCTTGAAGTGAGTTCATTTATTACCTAACACTCCTCTGAACTGACAGTTGTCACAGATGGCTTGTTTTGTAATGTTATATCTATATAGCTATGAATAGTTGAGAAGAGAGGGATAGAAAAGAGTTGGGGAAAGAAAATTACTTTGTTGCTGCACATGGGACCTTTTATTTCCTTTTGGCAAGTCAAACCTATTGGACCTTCTCTGTGGCTCTCTTCCTAACAGAGTTATAGACACCTGAGATAAAAAGCTCTGTGCCATTTCATAACAGTGAGCTATGATAGGATCACAGGCACAAGGTTACCACAAAATCAATATTTGGATGTTTTGGTAATTCCATTACTATAATTTAAATTTCAAAGCTAGATCTGAAGTAAATTGGTATTTGTTACGTGATCAAAGTTAGCACTGCTTTGAGCAAGAGGTTGAACCAAACTGGGGTGGTTTTGAGGCCTCCTCTTTGTAATGACCTTTTTTCTAACACCTGATGGGCTACTGTTTGCTCCTTTTGTTTTGTCTTTTAGCCAGAGGATTCCTGTTTGCAACATTGTGCACACTTATTTTAAATATGTATTTCATCCTAAAACCTAAAACTTCTATAAACTTTCATATTGCCTAAGAAAAAACCCCTGCTAATTATAGATTAATTAAGGTTTTAATTCTCAAAATTCTTTGGGACTTAAGGTTACATATGATATGGGTAAAACATTTTTTTATTAACCTTTATTATTTTTAACAAAACTATGTTTCTGTCTATTTAGTATGTGCTTATATACCAACTGAAGCTCCAGTTCTACAACAAACTGTCACAAATAGTTATAAAATGGTAATTGTGTGCATTTTTGCACACATGGGTGCAGGAACGGATTAGATCAGTATATGCCTCGCTGATGGCTAAGGTCTAGCCAACAACTGAAACAAAGCTGGAAGGCTTAGTACACTATGATTGATTGTTTCAAAAACCCCTTAAATTTAATATGCCTTCAATAAAGAGACATTCCTTTTTTCCATAGGACTGAAACTTTCTCTTACATGTTTTGTAGATAAAACAAGTGCATCCAATCCTCAGAGTGCTTTCCTTAGAAGAGAGGGAGGCCAAAACGGCAGGCAGACTATAGCTGGTAAAATATAGATGAAGAGATACGTGGTTATGTTTTGTACAAATTCAAGCAGCACGTGTGTGTTAACATCTAGCTGTGTAAAAGCGTCCTGGCCCTGCAGGCAAAGGTGAGTGTGATGTGTAGTCCACAGCAAGCAAGATTTTAAAAAGGAAAAATAACACATGTCCCCTTCTGGCTCATTAGAATAAGACTTGTTTTCCTTCACAAGGGGGAGGGGACTGAAGCAGAATCCTGCTGGCTTTGATGTCTGCTAGAGTCCTGTAGCTGAGATGAAATGGAAAGCATCATGCAGCAGGAGCAAGCAGCTGCTCTCATTTACCCTGGACACCCACAAAGGGCTGAGCAGCCTTTGCCTTTGAATTGACATCATATTCATGCTGGCAGCACCAAAATACTCAGTGTCTTATTTACTCATGAGAGTGGAGAAGGGGGGGGGGGAGGAAAAAAAAAAAACCTCTGACTGATTTACTAGCTTTATCTTGACTGTGCAAGAATCACCATTGCTATCAGGAGATGCAGCGTGCTTGATCCCTCTGTACTGAGGGAACAAAGGACCTGGAAACTTGCCAGGTCTCTTCAGGTAAGGTATCCTCAGCTGGCAGCAATCTCTCTTGCAGCCATCAGCGGAGCAAGCTCATAAAAATCCTTTCACACTGCATGAATTCTTCTGGTAGCAGATTATAGTTACGCAGCTCTAGCGAGTGAAATGAAGTATGATACCTGCTATGTAGGTGCAATGCTAGAGAGGGATTGTGGTTGTAAATCCATGACAGGAAGAAATGCTGGATGGTGGCAGTGAAGGAAAAGGAAGATGCGGGGTCAATATGGGATGGCAATAGGGAACTCCATGGCAGAGAATAAAAGCCATTAGCACTTAAGGAACTCAGTATTTTGTGGTTTAGGGTGCTGTGACCAGTGATCTGAGGGTTAGGCCTCTGTGACAGTGCTGAGAATAGTACATACCGTGTGTGCTAACTCCCAGGAGAGTACCTGCCATGGGAGCTGGCATGGTGTCAGTGGTGGCTGAAAGCTTTGCCACTAACCTGGAGGAAAAGCCATAGGAACCCAAGCGTCAGAAAGATCTCACAATGTCAGATCCCCAGGAGCTGGTGCACGTGGTGCTGAATGGAGTCACCCAAGGATCTGTATCACTATGGCCGCTATAACCCCAGCAAGCAAACCCATCTCAAACACAGGCTGGAGTTAGGACACTGAAATGCCAGCTGACTGACCAGAGCATTAGTAG